ATGCATGTATGTTTGTACGTCTGTATGTATGTATGTATGTATGTATGTATGTATGTATGCATGTATATGGCATATGGAAGCCAGGAACCGAACCAGTGCATCATTGAGCAACATGTTTTATGAGGGGTTCGCTGAAGGATGATACCGTCATGAGCCCCGAAACTAGCACCTATACCCTAAACCCCAAAGCCCCGCTGGAGTTCGTAATTCTGGCAGGCCCCCAAACAGGCCCTCAAAAGAAAACAGACAACCGAATTAACCCTATAACCCCCTGAGCCCTAAATCCCGTTCTAAACCCTAAACAGTTAAACCCTAAACCGTAAAAAACGTGTAGCAAGGAGCCCGAAACGCTAAATCCCACCTCCGAGGCTCCTAGTCAAGGGTGACCCGGCTGGCGGAAAGACGACCTTCGCCGGGGCACCTGGGGAGGGACGCCAAGGGCGTTTGCTGAAGGATTCCAGCGGGATCCATTTCATTATACGATAGGTGTTTTAGTATTATTGAAGCAATATTGGCATCCTTCTGCTTCTCATGATTACTATTGTTACTATGACTTTTAGCGATAACTCCTATGTCTTTGGGGCCGCAGGCCGTGCAGAGGGTTTTCTTCTGATTTCTGTTCGTCCACGGCATGATTTTGGAGGATAAAGAGTTGTCTACAGCGTTGGAAATCACAAAGGCTAGAAATATGACAAGAGCAGCAAAGCAGACAAGTCCGTGGCCGTAACAACAATTGTAGACCACTGGAAGCATGTGGATGTCCTGAATGCTTGCTGTGAGGTCGTATGAGTTCGGGGATTAGGGGCATCGGCTTCGAAGCTTCAGTTAAATCGGACCCTCGCTAAGATTGCAGGGCCGAAGCACAGAGGTCTGATGGGCCCGTAGCTTCGTTGCTGTCGTCGCGGCACCATGGCTATAGATATCTATACATTAAACCTACCACTGCAAGCTTACGGTTATCTCTATGGGTTGCTGTAGTTGTGATGGAGCCGATTGTGGCGGGTTGTACTGTTTGTGCTACTAGCAATCTCATGCAGTGTCTAGGGGTTTGCGATTATTGGTCCGCGAGGGGGGTCATGAGCGGCACATGCCGTGGCATCTGCACTGCAAGAGCCCAGAGCAACTCAGACTTAGGCCTGGGAAACCACTGAAGATGTTGTGGGCGTCATGGTTTCTAATCCTCCCTGTGGCTTACTTGGATGTGCCCTGGTATCGAACTTTTCGTTTTCGTGACAAAGTTACAAAGCAATCCCCGGGGGTAATCGACAATAATGCCGCCCAACGGGCCGATTATACTTATACTCTACCGAGTATTATGTCCCCAAGCCCTACGCCCGCAAGGTTCCAAGTAAGACTTGAGAGTGCTCAGCTGTCCAAGGCCAAGCAGCTGCTGACGTGGATCATGCTCCTCGCCCTTGCTTTTCCTGCTTGGCACAGGGTGTCATCGCCTTAAAGAAAGTTTTGTCTAATGACCTGTCTATGAAACTCGTACACAAGTATTCTACATCGCATCTCTAACATGATGGATCATGTATTGTCTCGTCCGGCAGGAACGGCAGTTGACCCGAGGTTCCGACGGCCAGATGGCCTGCTTTTGAACATCCGAACTGAACGGTTTAATGTTTTCTGCATTCTGCGCCGCCCCGTTCGTTGAGGCTTAAGCATCTGGCTTAGGTTTGAGCACACTAGATTTTCTCAAGGCTCCAACCCTTTTGGTTTCAGGGTTTAGAGCTGAGGGTTTCAGGCGTTGGGGTTTAGTGCACAGAGTTCAGGGTTCAGGGACTATAGTGCTTATGACACTTTTTGAAGCGATAGAGCAAGAGCCGCGAGTGCGACGTCAGGAGGGAGGCAGGAGCCAGCTGGCTGGTCCCGGTGATGGTTCGAACGATCGCAGCCAAGCAGCAGCCATGATGACTGCATGGTCTTACTCGGTTGCTAGGACATGCTGACTTACAACATGTCTGAAGTAAGGCAATTCTAGGTTTACTTCAGTATCATTACTTGGGCCAGCAACAAACCCATCCTTTTGTGTCTACCCTCCAAGCGTTTTTTGCTTTCTCTCCCCACAGTACCTTTAAAAAGCCGAAGGTTTCGTTATAGATTACCCGGAACACTGCAACGACGAAAGCTAGGAGCTTGAGTTCAGGGTTCAGGAATCCGATGTAGGCTGGGCATATGGGCTTTAGGCTTTTAGGGTTCAGGAAGTAGGGCTTATAGGCATCCCTTAACCTTACATGTAGACGAAACCCTCAAGCTGTGACCATAACCCCTGAACTTCCTAACCCCTACGTCACCCAAAACCTAAAACTGACTAAAGTTAAGCCCTAACCTCCCACCCCCAACCAAAAAAAACACAGACCTAAAACTGACTAAAGCTAAGCCCTAAAAACCCCCAACGCCGAGAAGTAAAGTATGACCGAGCGCTGCCGGCTACCCTGGACCAGCGTTGGATCGGCTCGAGATCCGGTTGAAGGTTTGGTGGTTCGCTTCTTGGGTAGGTTGCAAAATTAACATCCCTTTTAGGGCGGGTTTAGGGTTTTTAGGGGTAAAGGTCGCCAAAACAGTACGACACCCTTCAAAAGAAGAACCCCTAAAGGGATCCTATAATTGGGAGAACTATCATCTTTCCGACCTGATCCATTGTTTACATTCGAATACCTAAAAATACCATAGCCTACCTTCTTGTAGGTTCTTATTACTATTATTCAGCCTACAACCCTCATTAACTACATGTGGGGTTTGCTGTTCCTGACAGCGCAAGGGAAGCTACCCCACACTTGACGTCTTGTGCTCGCTGCATCATTGGCTCATGCCACTCGTAGCATCAAGCTGTGTCCCTGCCGGTAGAAAGTCTTCATGACACGAACATCCGTCTCCGCTGAACTTTTTCGTTGTTGAGCAGTCGTATACTTGAGCATCAAGTGCGTCTTGTCTCGAGACTCTGCCGCCAATATGTATGTGCGGCAGCTTCTTCTGCTTGCCCTCCTGACCTCGGATTCAGCAAGAGCTGCGGTATCGGTGCCCTCCGAGTACAACTCCAGCTACACGAGCATGACTGTGACAACGGAGCGCTACGCCTGCAGTGGCGAGCTTACTGGCACCAGAGATTCAACACAAGTCGGCAGCATCGTGTGGGAGTTGAAGAAACTATGGGAGATTATGGGACCGCAATACGCATATGTATATATATATATATGTATATATATATATATATTTATTTATTTATATTTATATTTATATTTATATTTATGTGCGTATGTATATATATATATATTAATTATCTAGATATTCACTGATTTCTAAATTTGTAGCCAAACTAATGAAGAAGGGACCCCCCCCCCCCTCCACTCCTCACTCCAGCCCATGTTCTGAGAGCTCGGAAGGTTGGGATCCGACCTGTGCTCGGAACGCTCGTCTTTCTTCGAGTGCTCCTTAAATGGCTCCGAGGCGGCATGTAATGCTTAGATAACATCCCAAAGGGCCCTATAGGGCTCCAGCTACCTAAATTTTTTCGGTTATAGGAACCAGATATTGTGTGCCCCGGTCACCTACTATATATCGGTAACTGGAGCCCTATTGATCCTCTATGGTCTTATGGAGGCATCTTCTCATACATGGGTTTGGAGACGCTTCAATGAACCCAGGATCGAAGATCGGCCACTTTGACTGCTCCTCGAATGCTTTGATTGAGGAGTTTTCCGTGGGATCCTGCTTAAGATGTGACGACTACAACTTCTCCTGCGATAAGATCTGGTGGAAGGGAACCTTGTACGACACAAGGTACTTTAAGCCCGTGTGCAGGGCGCCCTCAACTGGCAATTTCGATTCCGGCTGCTACTCGAGCCTTAAGCTCTGGTCCTCCTTCGTTCTCGTGTTTGCCTCCGTGCTGCTGAGCTGCTGAGCTCTGGGTGATCAAGACGATCTGCCTGGAGCGGTTTAAGTCGAATTCGGTGTTTCGAGTTCACTTCCAAAGGAAGGCGACGGGTCGGCAGTGATTTTGGCCACGAGTCCCTGTTGCTCCCCCGCGTGTCCATGATTCCGAAGGCCGGTTAAGCGCGACGCATCTCCGCGGTGTTTTGCCGAAGCATCCCAGCGCTCCACAAGCTTAAACAGTAGGTTACTAACCATATATGATGTACCGCAGGAACCTACTATTCAGGTACTTGGAGGCCTAGTGGCGGATCTATCTCGTTTCGAAGTTAAGCTGCGCAACTACCCAGGGTTCCAGCACCAAGTTGTTCCGCAACAGCCAGATGTCCCTCAGAGAATATACAGAACCGACGAAGCCCACATGCTTGTGCCACAAAGCTCCCTTTCCTATCATATTTTTGGTCATGGTGCATTCCCTTGGCAACCGTCTCGGTAAGTCTTAACCGAAACCTTATACTTGGATACGCATACTCGAACCAGACGATTGGGTTCGGGGTCATATGAGGGCAGGGAAATTATACACACTGGGTCAGTTTGCTCTAATTCTTTTCTGGCTTTGGAGCCAGGGTTCTGGATTCTCCTAAACCCTCATCCCCTAATTCTATGGGTTTATGTTCTGGGGGTTTCTAGCTTGTTCTGGATTGGCCAGCCGGCTCGTGACGGGGGTACTTGCTCCTGACACATTGTCATGCCTCAGTCGTTAGGGTAGCAAGCTCAAGCCATGCCTGCCTGGTGCGAGTCTGTCTGTGTCGAACCCCCTAAACCCTAAACCTAACCCGCAAGTCCGAACCCTGGACCCCATATCTTCCGGGGCAGAGAAGTCCGAGATTCTCAAGCGTAAGCCACTGCATTCTCGAGGCTGTATAAGGTTTTGGGTTTCGGGTTTAACCTTTGGGGCAGGAAGGTTTAGGGTTTGGGGTTGGCAATCAGATAGACTTCGAAGGTGTGCTATACCATACTAGTAGTGGGTATCGTCGATCCGCGACCTACCCTCGTAGTTGAGGAACCCTACGGCCCTACTGCCAAGGAGCCGTCAAGGCTCAGACACAGCTCAGGATCTTGTTCGCTGTCACGACTCTTTCTGCGATGATGGTCGGGACATGGCTTCTGGCCTAAACCAGCTGAAAGCGGTCTTTAATTAAGGGAGCTAAGATCTCACGGCTTTGGGGCGTATAGGGTCTCGGAGTGTAAAAGAGTTGAGAGCTGGAGTTTAGGCTTTCAGTTCAAGAGGGTCTTTAGGCATTCAGGTCTAGAAGGTTTCCGGAAAAGTCTAATGATTCTTATATACATAATGGAAAGCTCTGGCGTGGGCGAGGGCAGGCGAAGCAGGAGTTTGGCTTGCTTGGGCCTTCAGTTTATGGTCGGTTCCCCTGAAGCCTCAACCCCCGGGCTGATTCAGGGCTAGTGACCAACCAAAAACAGCAAAAGGCAAACGTCTCAATACGACAGCTACACTGCAAGAGACCACCACAATCCCTACTAGCGGTCTAATTCGTCGCCCCAACCAAGAAGCAGCCACAACGCTGCGCGCAAAGGTCACACAGTATCTGGCTATGGTCTACAAAGACTCCGGGCTGCAGCCTTCCTGTCCGTAGCTGACGCCGCAGCGACGATTTCGTAGCCCCAAGCCCTTCGTACTACATCCGATTCGCTCGAAACCCCTAAACCCGAAAGCCAAGTGGCCCCAAGCTAACCCATCCAGGGTTTTCAAAATTTTCGGGAGTAGGGCGTCAGGCCCGGAATAGCCTCCGGGCTTTGAGGGTTTTGCAAACATTGATGCTGTATAGATTTCAGATTTTCTTTTCGTGTGGAGGCAGGGTTTTGGGGATTTGGGGGTTTTCTGCAGAGAGAAGCAATATAGGGGCCTTATTAATTAGAATAGGGTTTCGGGTATACTAGACTATATTTTAAATAAGGAGCCCCCAAAACCCCATTCTAATTATTAAGGCCCCTACATTACACCTCACAACTGCACCCTCGGAGGCAGATACCCGCCGCAGCTGGCCAGGTTTTCGAGGTAGGGCTTCTCATTTTTCGAGTTCAAAAACCTGATAGCTATAGTATTGTTATAGTATTCTTTATAGTAAAGCCTTGCAAGGTTTAGTATAGGTATAGTATAGTTATAGTATCGTTATAGTACAGTCATAGAACATGACTGTAGTCGAACCCCAGAGCCTGATCCTTGCTTGCCGAGGATGCTCCAGCTTTGGAGCTCTTTGACCTTGCGCGCCAGCAGGCCACATGTCTCGGCTAAGGGTTTAGGGCTTTGGTTTAATCTGCAGTCCGTGTGTCTGGCTAGCGTACAACAGGCCCAACGTTGTTCACGATTAAGTGGGTTGGTTGCTCCAGATGCTTCACAAATCTGAAGCAATCGGATTCCTCGAGAATCGGATGCCTGCGAGGGGCGACTCCTTGTGTTGCTGGACGGCTTTGATGAAGCTGGACATCTGGAGCGAGCCCCGCATGCATGCAATGGGTCGTACGACATCGATGGTTGTCCTCGCAAGTCTAGGAGCATGTTTCCGTACACTGGGTAATCGATTAGGATTCCTTCTACTTTGTGGTTGGGGTGTCTGCTTTTCAAGGGGGAGGCTATTCCTTCCTTTCTGCAGGGAGGCAGAAAAAAAGGTAAGCCAGGTAAACCCTGAGACGAAACAGAAGTTAGTTGCTTGCTGAGGCGAGCTGGCGACGCAAATTTCCACGATGCTGAACAACGAGGTGTTTCTGATCGCCCTCCGGTTTGCAATTTAGGGGCTCGGGGCTTTGGGTAGTGCTCATACTAAGAATCGATGACTTCGAGGTTAGAGCTTTGAGGGTTTGGACCTTTGCTTCGGAGCTGGCTGGGCTTCGGACAGTTTTGCCCAGCTGCGGTGCGATTGCCGCCGCTAGAGATGCTGTCGTTCAAGATGCCGGTGCTCCAACTGCACTTCCCGCCGCTAATTATCCCACTAACCCTGACATGTCTTACCCGACACCCTACACCCTAAATTCTAAACCCTAAGCCTCAGACCCGAACCCAGGCCTAAACCCTAAAAACTTAAACCCAGTGGGTAAACCAGTAGCCTTGGCCCAATCTCAAGGTAACCTCGAGGGAGATGAGTGGCGTGCTGTCCGGATCAGACTTCAGCCGATTTCGCACCGTCAGGCTCGGCTCCTTTTTGTTTGCGTTAGGGGTTAGGGGTTCAGGGTTTAGGATTCAGGACTCTTTGGTGGCTTACGGCTTGCGGAGTTTATCGTCGTACACCTAGGATGTTTTGACCCTCAACCCTACACCCCAAAGCATCTCAAAGCCATGAGCTCTTCGCTATTCCATAAGCGGGCTCGGGGTTTTGGGAAAAGGAGGAGGTGGTGCGCACGATCAGGCGATCTTTCGGGTAGCTCTTAGGCGGCTAGGCCTTGCAGAGCTTTTGGGGTTTCGATGAAGGCGGCTGATGGGAATGTTGTGTCGCTTCAGGGCTTTATAGGGTTTAGGATTACATATGTACAAAGGTTATTGGAGTTTTGGGGCTAGAGATCTTCGGATCCGTGTGAACATCGTTATTCAGATTTAGGGGGAGGCTTACTCAGGGGTCTAAAAGAACATTGAACTGGGTCTGAGGCTCAGGCTACAGAAGTTACTCAGGAACTTACCAAGCTCTCCCCCCCACCACAAGCCCTACAAAACCCTAAAAAACAAAAAGCTCCACTACCCCAAACCAAATGGCCAGGGTCAAAGAGCTGAACGAGGTGCAGCGGAAGCAGGCTCCCAGCCGGGCAAAGTCCGAACTTGCATGCGAAGAGCCTTGAGACTTACTTGGGAGCCTCAGTTTGCTTCTTCTGCTTTAGAGATTTTGGCATGAGGGGCTTGGTGTTGAAAGTTTAGGCTTTTGAGTGTACGGTTTGTGTTTTTCGAAATGCTTCCGAAATATCCTTAACCACCCTGAGACAGGAGTAGTAGGACACAGCGGCGGCGCAGTAGAAACCTTGAGGCTCTTATGCTCTGCAGCTCCTGCTCAAAAGAATGAGGCACAGTGAGAGCCGATAAGGTCGAGGAGACTCGTCTGCTCGATCTTGTCTTTACTACCTCCTGCTGATGAGATATACACGCATACTCAGGCCCACATACACCTGATTTTTGGATTTCACGGCGCAGGGTATCTCCCTAGGGCAAACCCCCCTCAATTAGAAACCCGCTCTCGGAAACTCAATAATAATCTCGCCCCTGATTCCTGAATGAACGCTTGGGGCCCTTTTGTCAGCCCCCCCAGAGTCGCAGAGAGAGTCAGCGAGCGTAACCCCCCCTCCTCAATTGTCAATAGTCAATGTGAATCCTGCAACGAACATGAACCTTTAAAGAATCATCGTTCAGGCCCCGAAGCCTTAAACCCCAGCCCTTAAATCCACAACCCGAATCCCTAAGCCCTTAAACCCTCCAAAACTCGCAAGCCCTGCAAGCCTTAGATGTCTGTAGTTGCATCTTGGGCAGGTCATCGAGCGAAGGCTCACATCCTCCGAGGCCTTGCTGAGGGCTTTGTAGGGTTTGGGGATTCGAGTTTAGGGCCTTGAAGTGAGGGTCTAGGGGTCAGGGGGGCTTAGGGCTTGATGCCAGTTATACTTTGAGGATCCTCTAAAGTAACCCCCCAAAAAGGAGCTTCAATGGGGGCTACCCATAGGCCCCTAACTAGTTCCCTTTTGTCGTTTATTTAGGATCCTATAAGGTAATCCCAAAAAGGAACTACTTAGGGGCCTATGACTGTAGGTAGGATTGATCCATACTACGGGCGAACCCTACAGCATGGGGGAGAGTGGTCGGATCCTGGGGCTGTGGGAGAGCGTAGGCAACCAAATGCCGCTGCTGCTCAAGGGTCTAGGGTTTAGGGTCTAGGGTTTAGGGTGTAGGGCTTAGGGTCTAGGGTCTAGGGTTTAGGGTGTAGGGCTTAGGGTTTAGGGTCTAGGGTTTAGGGTGTAGGGCTTAGAGATATTGTAGGCCTTATGGATAAGGGGTTACGAGTTTGAGTCTTCCGAAATGCTTTTGCCGTTTGGGCATTCGGTTCGAGGGATTGTTGAGTCTCCGTTGCAGGATAGCAAAACCGGGGTTTTGGGCTTTGGGTTTGCGGTTTATTCTGGGACTCCCGGTTAGGGAGCTGCAGTCGTCAGATTTCGTGACACCTGACATATTAAACTCCTTAAACTTACTTCAAGCCCTAAACCTCTACATGTGCGGTTAGGTTGTGTGCCAGAGCTGGCAGGCAGAGCAAACAAAGAGCCGACACCACCTAAGAACCAAGACCTCAACCGATTGTGCCACCACCTCGGCTCTTGCACCCAAGGCCTGGACTAAAAGACTCTCGCCCATAAGAAAGCCTGCACTACCACCTGCACCCCTGAGTAATTTTCCAAAATCTCTTCGACAGCCCTGAGATCCTAAAAACCACTGGAGCCATGAAGCGTTGTCACTGCTTTCATCCAAGAAGGCTCTGCAATCCTGAGAGCAGCCCTGAGCAAGAACCCGAAAAGATAGTCTCCGGAGCAGGCCGTGGAGTCTTTCTGCACCCAGCTGACCCTGAACCCCGCCCTCTGCATGATGACCAGGCAGCGCTCAGTCATGTTAGGGTCTGAGGGGACATGGCTTCAAAATATAGTAATAATGCCCTAAGCCCTATAAACCCCTCAACCCTTAAATCCTAAATTATGGTTTAGTTTGGTCTAATATAGCATAGGATGGTATAGCATAGCATTTGTAGGGCTTGAGGTTTAGGGCTTTCGAGTCTCTCTCTCTCTTGCGCCAGTCTTGGCTGTTATGGGTATAAATATGCACCCGACTTTATGGTTTAGGGTTTAGGTTTGAGGGCTTGGGGTATAGAGCCCATAGTGATCCTACAAAATACCAGGTTCGGGTTAGGCAAGGGCTGAGATTTCTTGGGATGGGCTCGCGCTTATGGAGACTCTCGCTTCCATACCAGACTAATTCAAGAGAAGCCCTAAACCCTAAACTACCCTAAACCCTAAACTACTCTAAACCCTCAACGCCAATCCAGGAACCCGCTCCTCCTGAATGTCACGCTTTCTGTCTACGAGTCGAGTGGAGATCTGGACGGCCGGGCATTGAATCGAGGCTCCCGGTTCTCAACCCTGACGATGCTAGGGGTTTAGGGTTTTGGGGTTTAGGGTCTAAAGTTTAGGGTTTTGGGGTTTAGGGTTTTAGGGTTTTGGGGTTCAGGGTTAGGGTTTCAGGGTCTAGGGTTTAGAGTTTATGGTTCAGAGTGTGGGGTCTGGGAACTTGAGGAAGAAGACAGGCGACTAAGTCGGCCTGGAAGCTTCGCTTGATATTTGGCTGCATTGCCATGGCATACTTCCTGAAAGTGACAACCCTTCCTCAAAAGGCAAAACTGGCACACTAAGCCCGAAAGCCCCAAAGACGAAAGCCCCCCAACCCGCAAGCCCTCAAGCACACAGGTCTTCGGCTTCTGCACATCTAGGATGGATTCAGCAACTGCTGGCAGAACAATCCTCAAAAGCTCCCGAACCTTCATCTATAAACCCTGTGACCAAAGCCCACAACATGAGCCCTTCAAAATTCTGAACCACAAAAGGCATGAAACCCACGAAAACATGCGGCTGTCTTTTCCATCTGCAAGCTCGAGGCCCGCCACTACACCAAAGCAAACTTTCACCCTTAAGCCAAGTTCGCTAAACTCTCGAACCACAACATCCCCCGGCCTCCCCCGGTTTAGGGTTTAAGGGGGTTAGGGTCCCGCCACCCCAACGAAACACGTGCTTCCGAGCCCGGCACAAGCGCGAAGCGGTCACCCGAAAACCACTGAGTAGTACTATATGATATTCGAAGATATACACCACGTGGTAGTATCATGGTATGCCCGTATGGTGGTGTTAGAGTGTTGTTCCGGAACATGGAGCTCCATTGCTCCCCAGTGACACAGATCCTACTTGTGGAGCTCCGGCCAGGTCGAGTGTATGGCCTGGCCCTGGACGGCATGTTGCACAACCTGGCGAATCGAAAGCACATATCACAGACATCTATATGACATTATATGTGTGTGTATAGCGTGTATATATATATATAGAGAGATAGAAACAGAGAGAGTTTACTACATCATTCACGCACAGGTGATTATAACTGATTATAACACAATTTCTATGAACCATCGTGTAAGCGTGCGTCTATGTTGACCTCTGTCTGCATGTGGTTGAGTGAATGTGTGTATGGGTCCTCACGCATGTGACTGCATGTTTTTGGGTATACATCAATGTGCCTACCTGATCTGTGCATCTGTTCGAGTTGCTTGGTCACGGCATCTTTTCCAGCGGCAGGGTGCAAGCCGATAGTGTGCTTCCAAGATATGATGAAGTCCCACTGCCACAGTTATCTGATGCCTGCTGTCATTCGGCAGCTTGGGGAGAAGCCATGAGAAGCCTACGTGTTAGGAGCTGCGTGCTTTGGAACCGGTGCCCAAGTTGCAAGCTTTATGCAATCGAGGAGAGGAAACATGCTTCGAGCCGCTCAGCTGCACAATCACAGCAGGGAGCATTCCACCCCCTTTTACTTGTAATCCCTCTGTCGGGTTTGATTCGTGGTCTGACTTACGTATCAACCTCTACAGGGTTTTGCGAGTCATACCGTTTTTTCGGTGAGCTCCTGAATGTGCTTCACGTTGAGACCGAACCTGAACCGAGCCTTTTGGATGCTTCTGACCTGCAAAATCTTATCTCTGTGTGGTGTCTCACTCTCTGATTTGGTAAACTTTAGGCAAAAATATGTGCTCGCTTAGTCGGAGGTTTGGCTTGCAAAATCGCTAGAACCCTAGGCCTCACACCCTCCAGACTTTCATTTCCAAACCCTGCATCCATCAAGCCCTGGTGGCCTCAAGCCCTCCACCCTACCTATAGTATCCATTGTAGTTCCTGGTTTTGGTTTAGCCAGTTCTATAGCTAGGATCCTATAAGGTAGCCCTAGAAGGGAGCTACGATTGAGACATCCTGAAACACGCAACCCTCCACGCCCGATGCCCTTAGATCACAGAGCTCTAAGGCGGGATGGATGTGTCGGAGGGCATGCGAGCCTCCAGCTTGCGGGCTATTCTCAAAAGCGCCCCGGCTGCAAAGCATTCAGAGAGCCCAACTCCCTTCTTGAGTATTCATACATACATACATATATACATACATACATATACATACATACATACATACATACATACATACATACATACCTCACTCTCTCACTCTCTCTCTCTCTCTCATCCTCTCCCTTTGTTAAGTTACAACAAGTCTTATTCTTGCTGGGAGCCATGAAAGTTCAGGAAGCAGTCTTGCAACAGCAAATTCAACTCTTTTGGAAGAGGTATAACTCAATCCCACTGATCATCTTCAAGCCCAGAGGACAGATACCAACCCGATGCAAAAAAAAACGCCACCGACGAGGTCTGGCTTTCGAGGCCCACTCCCAGCGCGAAGGCTCGGGTCGGTGAATTTGGCACAAGATAGACCTGAAGCCCCAATCATCCCTGGCTCTGGACCCCAAGACCGCCCTAAACCCCAGAAGCAAATCTTAAGCCTTCGACCCCCAACAAAAGCTTAAATGACTTCTGGGCGCCCATCACATGTCCCTGAACCCTAAATTCCTTGAATGTAGGGGCCTAAGCAATTACCATGGCTATTCAGGGCCCCAAAACCTTATTCTAAGTATTCAGGCCCCTATATTCACCCAGCGCCCAAAGACTGTGAGCAAGGTACTGCTTAGTAGGGCCTCCTGCTGGACCGAAGGCCACAAAGAATCATAAGCATGGCGTAGGTGATGTTCAGCCGGAGGTTAGACCTACCGCTATAGTCTCCATTGTGATTCCTTTTCTTGGGTTACGATTATAAGATCCTCACTACAAAGTTGCTTACACCAAAAAGAAGGGACTACAATGGAGACTAAACCCTAAACCCTAAACACAAAAAGGGAACTACCATGGAGACTAAACCCTAAACCCGAAACCAAAAAAAGGAACTACAATGAAGACTAGTAAACCTTAAACCCGAAACCAAAAAAGGAGAACTACGGTGGAGACTAAACCCAAAACCCTAAACCCGAAACCAAAGAAAAGGGAACTACAGTGGAGACTACTGCTTAGCTGCTGGTGTGCCTCAGGATACGTCCATCAGAGTCTGGAGCTCCATGGTGCGGGTTTTCGGGGTTAGGGGTTCGGGTTTAGGGTTTATGGGGTTTGGGGGTTTACGGTTTTGGGGTTAGGGGTTTTGGGTTTGAATGCAGACCTCTAAACTCCTAAAGCCCGGAGCCCTGAAGCCACAAGCCCTACTAGGCTACTCGAACTTTAGGGGTGAACGGTCAGAAAATAGTTCTACCCCTAGGGCTCCAAAATTAGGGTTTTCAAAAGCCCAATTGCTCCGCGGAGGCAGGGGCATTCGTGACTTTCACCGGCCCCTCGTCGAGAAGGCCTCTTGGCACCTTCAGGGCTATTTACCTGCAGTAAAACTTGACTGGTGAACTTGGGTTCAGGGATGGTCTAGGGTTACATCACAGTTTTTGTTGACTGCTCGCCTCCTGAAGTGTGCAGCACACCACCAATCATTCCTCACCTCTTGGTGCAGGCCAGGCACGGCCAACCAAGAAAAGACGTAAACCCTAGCAAACACCCGTTGACCCCGATTCAGCTCCGTTCAGCCACTCCCTTCAGCCTTGAAAACCTACTGAACCCCAAGTCCTGGGAAACTCGACACCCTGCGCCGAAGCCCTACCTGGGGCATCGGAAAAGGGCCGACAACAAAAAAACGAAGCTCCAGAGTCCCGGCCTGGAGGCTATCCGATCGTGCCGTCTCGCCACGGACTTCAGCATTGAAGAATGGGAGGCGGTGGAAGACAGCATCAAGCTACCCGGCCTTTCAGCGTGGGGTAGCGTAGATTCGGAGACATTCAGATGGGATTGTTTGTTTTTCTTGCAGGTGGGCTAGAAGCCTTGCCGAAATTGGCCCTCGAGCTGTTCAGCACTATCACTAACCTATAAGGCTGATATGACTTCGTCTGTATGTTGTGCGTGCATACCGGAAAGGCCCTGTGTCCCGACGTGCAACTCGAAACCTTGATGTCTACACGGAAGAAGCCCATCTGGCGGTTATTCAAGTTCTCGTTCTGACAGCGAATGGCATTTCTGGCTCCGGACCCTAGCTACAAACTTTGTCGTCCAAGACAATTAGATGCAGAAGAAACGCGTCCTTTCAGGACCTGAGCAGCTCCCCCCTGGGCCAGATGTCTAAATCCTGAAACCCTAAGCCGAAACCCCTGCCTCCGAATCCCTGATCTCTTAAGGCGTAAACCCCAAACCTTGCAAAGCAGTTATGGGTAATCAGGAAGGGCCAACTACCAGTGCTGACCTGGTTCTCCGAGGCACTGTCGGAGTCGGAGCTTCGGGAATATTTTTTTTGGGGGGGTTAGGATTTACGCACCAGGGTTTGGGGATGTAGGGAGTCGCTCATGCTCCGTCTGATCTGTATGCGTCTTGCTTGCACGTAGTCGCATTAGAGCTCTTTTTCCAATTCGGCAAACTGTACTTACGTGTGAACTAAATGTCATTCCGGATGCTTTGCCTGATGAGCGCACGAGTCGCTGACTCACTTAGTGACTAAGTACTTGTGGTCGAGGGTTCGTCCTGGCGCAGCACAGGCCAGTTGCACAAGCGAATTAGGATTTAGCAGTTTGCGGCTGCCGGATCCAGGGCATGTGACTGGCGTAGCTCAGGGTTTGGGTTCGTGATGTATTGTCCTGTATATGGGCAAATGTAGGGAACGGTTCTAGAAAGGCCCGGAACTGGCTGTGGAGCAATATTCGTGCAAACGCTTGGGAGCAGCAATGTGGCAGATCAATTCTACACTGCAGATGCTTGAACCTACCTTCAGCATATCCTAGATGCGAACTAGTCTCCGACTTTCTCAGATATATATATATATATATGACTGAATCCCAAACTCCGCGGCCGAAAACAGTTTGATGGTCGACAGTGTCGCATCCGTATTTGGCCTGTCGCGGGAATCGAAGCTCCGTTTCGAAGAATTGAAACTCGAATTGAGTCCGGACGAGAGTCCGTAAAGCCTAAACCCTACCAGTGTGTACCATGGACCCTGTAACGCCCTTACCGTACCCCACGACTTGAAGCCCAAAACCCTTTCAACCCTGAACCCTACCTGGACCCTGTATAAGCCCCACCTTGTTAGGGCTTCTTCTTGTTGGCGTTTCCTTGTATAAGTCTTAAAGAGATAGGTTATTTGGGGCTAAGGTCGCTCCTAAAATGCCTATGAAGGCATCAGTGCTATGCTTGCAGGATGGCCAGGATACTTTCCGATTTGCTCACCTCACCTTCCAGGACTACCTTCAACCCCTTAGGCCTTAGGCTGCCTCAGGCTTTTCGGACGTTTCTGGAGTCAAGATGTCAGGATTAGGGGTTGTGGAGGTTGCTTGTGCTTCAACCAGATACATATACATTGACAGCGAAGGAGCTTCCTTGCTGCTGAGCTTGTTGTCGCGCTTGTTGACTCGAAAGGGGTTTAGGGTTGAAGCGACTTTGGGATTTAAAGGGTCTGCTGAGGGTTCGAAAGAGCCTGGGATTCGTGTCTTTCGCGAGGAGTTCCTTTGTGCGGAGTACTGCTTGGCCAGATGTCAACAGAGCTCCTTGGCAGCAAGGAATTCAGATCATTTTTTGCGGTAGATTCACGTAGCTCACGGTAGCTCTCAAGAATCTCAGGAGGGTACCCCCACCTCCCAAAAATGATTCTTGCCTCATGATTTGTCTCCTAAGTTTTTCTGCTCAGTGCTTGCTGCGTAAGGTCCTGGGTCTAGCAAGTCTTCCAAATTCCAACCAAAAAATCGGCAAGAAGACTATGCAACATAAACAACACTTCCTCACAAAAATTCTCGTAACTCCAAGAAGCCCCCGAAAAGCGGCTGCCCCCCCCCCCCCCGACTTTGCAGACCGCCAAGCCCCCTTTCACTTCCTTAAAACTCGGGGAAGGCGCAAGCCCAAACCCGAAGTCCCAAGTGCTAAAATCTCCAAACGGCTCAAATCCCGAAGCTTTAAGCCCCCAAAACTCTCTAAACCCCTGATGACCGGCTCTAAGACAACCCTAAACCCTTGAAGAAAGCTCCCTACACGGGGAACCCCTAAACTAGGAAGACTGTGTCATGGAAGTTGGGTCTTGTTCTGCAATCCACGCATGTTTGATGTGATATCTGCATGGTAATTTGGAAGTGGGATCGTTTTTTGTCTGCAGTGATTATTCATTCCTCTTGAGGGCTGCGGTGCCTGTGAAAGCGGAGACTTGGTGCAGACGCAAGTTTTCTTAGTGGACGGCATGAGCAAGTGAATTCTCCTGTGACGCAGTGCTGTGGCAGCAGTTTGTTTGTGGGGCATGTTTGCCAAGCTTGTCCCAGTAATTAGTGAGTGCTGCAAGCCTGAACCTGCCCAAACCCCCAAGCCATGAACTCCTTAAATCTCTGAATTCAGAATATAGCCCTGCAAAACCCCCAAAACCCGCTAAGAAACCCTAGCCCAAACTCCCCTTTTCCGGGTCTTTTGTCGGATACAATTATACGTTTTTGTTATAATGAACCCCTATTAAGGATTATAAAAAATGATCACTTTTTAATATATGGCCCCAACAGGGAACCAGTTTTAAAATTTCTAGGCGAAGACTTCGTCTTCGAGCTCCGGGAGTTGATCTGCTCAGCTGGGCCGCAGGAGATCCTCCGAAGGGGAGCCTGGGTCGGAGATGTTTGTTGGTGCCGCTTTTTTTTTTTGTTGGTGCGTCTTTTGGGATGGTTTAGGGCTTAGAATGCAGGGGCTTTAGGGTTTAGGGTCGGAGGGCAGTGTTTTTGTTGGGTGGGTTTTTGTACGTTTCAAGCTAGCTTGGCTGTTTCTTTTGCGTTTGTACTTGCTGGGGCTATGTCTTCTCTGTCTTGCTCCGGTTCGTTTCAATGTTCTCGCTGTCATGTGTGCACGTATAGCTGCTTTCGCTGGGGTTCGAGAGCCAGGCAGAGGGTTTCAGGGTTTTGACCCTGTATAGGGCTCAAGACGTATATGGCTTCACGATGTTTTCAAGATGCTTGGTGAAGCCCGACCAGGCACTGCACGATGCTTGGGGTTCGAGGGCTTTTATGCCGTGGCCAATCCTTGTTCGTACTTTACAAGGCAGGATGAGGGCTGTTGGGGTAATCCCACATAAGGGTCCTGATATAGAAGAATCCTCAATCCTACCTACCTGCATCACACGTTTTCAGGCCTCCAAGTTTGTAAGCTTTGAAATTTGCAACGCCTGGAGCCTCATCATTATGGCCCTCTTGGACCGGAAACAAAGGAACTCTTAACTCTTAAACTTCTCAGCACGAAGTCACGAAGTCTTTATAGAGTAGAAGCCGGAAAGTTTGCATATCCTCCTCATATCATGGCCTTCAAGCAGTGTATAGGGAATCCCAGCACCATTCATCCTAAATCTGTGTTCCAACTTTCTGGGGTTCGCTACCAGTGGGAGGAGGTGTCGGTTGATCCCAAACCATAAAAAAGAAGACTGAGGCTGGTGGCAGCAATCCATCCAGATGTTCTGCGACTTGTCGATAGCTACAGATGCGAAACACTCCTCCGGCTCCTGTTGGGGCACTGTCTTGGGGGAATGCCTGCTTCAGCTCGGCGCGTGCCCCAGATGCAAGATCTGATGATGCAGGGTTTAGGGTGTTGAGGTTTGGGGCTTGTTAGGGTTTTGTGGTTTGTTGCTTTAGGGGTTTGGGCTTTGGCTTTTTGAGGTTATGGCTTGCGGCTGTTATCATATACACTCGGCAAGAAAATCTGCTTATATAACCGCCAGGAAGCGGGAGGCATTTCTTGAATGAAGCTTCTGAAGCCAAGCTGAAGCTGTTCGATCCACAACCTTGAAGCTGAAACAAAGGAGTTTAAGGATCAGGGTTCAGGGTGTTCGAAAGAGCCACCCCACGTTGAGAACTCATGGCCCCGAAACTCGTTTCTCAGGGTTTCTCTATAGAAGTGTACCAGAATGTTCTGAAGAAGCCCGATTCTATTTGCTGCTGCTCCTATGTTCCCCCTGAGTTTTCTTTTAGACCTCCCTAAAGGTGGGCTTGAACTCCAAACGTCTCAAACTCCCCCCCCTTTGGGACATTGCACAGCAGAGCCCGATGCCTGATCGCCAGAGACTTTCGAGATGCAAGCCTTCCACAAAATTCCTCACACCCCAATCCCCAAGACTTAAAACCTAAGCCTAAATCCTATGAAGGTTTAGGACTTTAGGATGTAGGGTTCCCGGAACCCTGAAACCCCAAACCCTTTTTGCGATTCTGGACGGGTGGGAAGGTACAACACGGTCCCCGAAACGACCGGTGAAGGCCGTGGCGACTCTTGGGACCTTCGATTGGGGCTGAAGTTGTGTCTATGATATTTTTGGGGTGGTGGTCTGTAGAGTTGAAAGCTTAGGTGCTCGGATTTTGTTTTTCCTGGGGGTTTGGGATTTAGGTCAAAGGATTTCGGCATCGGATGTTGAAAACAGCGTGGAATCGGGTCTTGCAGTCTGCAGGCCCTGTTAACCAGAAGTCCGTAAACCCTAAGCCCTAATCTTTTATCCCTGGCCCTAGCCAGAACGAAGGAATATGGGGCTAGCTCTTTGAGAGTTCCGAAAATGCAAAAAAACAAGGTAACGGCCTTTTTGAAGAAATAATGCAGAACCGCAGTGTCATTGAGGAAGCAGCCAGCTCAGATGCTGAATCCGAGTCCCAGTGCATCTCGGACGAGTCTTTCTCAGAGGCCGGTCACAAGAAGCTACAAGAAGGGTTCTTGCTTGGCCCGAGAGTATCAGCTTGTTCAAGCATTTTCTGCTTCATCTGACTTGCTGATGACAACCGTGATCTAAGGAACATTACAGCCTGTTTGGTTTCCTCATTTGATCGCTTTGGAAATGAGTGTCGCATCAAGCTGAAGGATATTCGGTGTCATCCGGGGCTTTTTGGGGCGAGGGAGCGTTGATTCCCCACGAAAGTGTGTCGTTGTGAGCAAGTATGCTAGATTGGATATAGGGAATTTGTTACTGCAACTGTTGATTACAATCTGCCTGACCAGGCGGGCCCTAACCTGGGGCCCTTAGCACTGAAACCCGCAATACGGTGCTAGACCTGAGCATGACATGAAGTCTTCCCAAACCACGCTAATTACTCTGTACCCGCAAAAACTTCAAATGCGAAGCACAAACCCTCTCTAAACCCTAAACCCTAGACCCTGAACCCTAAGTTGTTGAAAAAAAAGAACCCTAGACCCTGAGCCCTAGACCCTAAACCCTAGACCCCGAACCCTAGACCCTGAACCCTAGACCCTGAACCCTAAACCCAACAACACACACCCCGCCCTCAGGAGGCCGCGGCCAGTATGGAGGGGTCTTGGGGGCAGGGGGACTGGGGGCCGCCGGTGTCAAGGTCGCATTATGACGAGCTTTTTTTTCACACATTCCGAAGAGGTCTCATAGGATAGGGGTTTAGGCTTTCGGGTGTGGGATTGGCAGATTAGCAGACTCGGGGTTCGACAGAAGGGTTGGTACCTCAAAGGCTAAACTGACGCTTTTCGACTTTGGGGTCTTGGGGTTCGGACCGAATCGTCGTTCATGGGGATCGCATGTCACGGGCGTTGTGCAGATGCCAGTCTCGCGCCGTAAGCCGCATTAGCCTGCTGTTTCGGATATAGATCATCCTTTTTTGCCAGTTGTGCTCGCATTCTGCCTGCTCCGGGTATCATGGCTACTGCTGCTATATTTAGATGTATACACAAGAAATGTGTATCTGCATGTCATGTTGCCCGGGCCGCGAATAAGGAGCGATGGACTGCCGCCGGATCCACTTCAAGGCCGGTAGCGACAGCAAGCGCCACCGTGGACTACCCGCTGGGGGTGACGGACACGAACATCCTCACGGCACCTCCACGGCTTTTGGCATGTTTGGGGTCTACTGAGTCTACTGCATAAGACTCTGAAATTGCGATGGTTTTTTTCTGAGGAGGGTATACCGACTCTTGACTGTGAATGAAAGCATAAAGGAGATCCGACAAGAGGTGCTGCAATTCATGGCTTTTAGGGTACCTTCTGGAGGCGGGGACGATGGAAGGGAATGCTTTGGGCTCAGGGTGATGGCAGGTCATTAACATTTAGCTTCAGGTCCAAAAGCGAAAGTCTGCGGCTTAGAAAACTCGTTTGGAAGTTCTGCTGTTTCGAGCTACTGAGTCGACTGGGAGCCCCCAACCCCGAGATCTGCTTAGGGTTTATATAGGGTCCTGACTTAGATTTCAAATTCGTCGCGGTGGAACCCCCCATGCGGCTCCACAGTTCTATAAGCCTCAGAATGATGGCTTCATCCCAAGCTCCAGCGAGCCTTTTCCCGCAACTCGGCCGAGACCCCAGGTACCCTCCAACTGAAAAACTGGAGGTTTTGGATTTGGAGAATATATTCTCGGGGCTCTTAAGCCCGAAAGCCTGAAGCCTCCTCTACTGTCAGCCCGGATCGACATGCTCCAAACCCGAAAATCCAAGTCCTATAAGCCCTAAACCCCAAAGCCCTATCCAGGTCTTGTCGATGTTGCGTGGCAGCCGGTCTTTGCAAAATCTTTTCCTCGGTGGCGGCCTCTCCTCCAGCGGCAGCTGGATCCCTGATGATGGATAGGACCCTGATCAGGGATTGGGGCTTAGTTAAAACTTAGGAAATTCTGGGTCTAAGCAGACCTTTTCGATACAAGGACACCCGAACCTGCACAATTAAATCTCAATATCCGACGTTTGCTGCTTCTTGACTTTCATTGGATGCCATATGTGTATATATATATGTACATGAGTATGTATTGCTACAGCCACTGCAAACCCGTGGCCTTAGACGGTTTGCCCGTGGCCTACCCTCGACTGTACGGCGAAGGGACCATGTCTTGAGAGATTGTCATCTCGGGCTTACCCATCCTAAACCCTAAACCCAAGAGTTCCAGTATCATGGGCCCCAAAACCCTATCCTAATTATTAAGGCCCCTACACCCTAAACCCTTAACCCTAAACCCGAAACCCTAAACTTGTTATGCTTCCGTCAGGTTTGGAGTTCAGCTAGGACATAGCGCGCACTTTGCGAGTTCATCGGCGCGCAGGGCTTCTTGTGTGGGTGTACGTTGCACGGTGCTCACTCGACGAATCCCAGGTATTTCCACCATGCGAACGTTGAAGCTTGGCATGAACTTCCGTGGGCTGAGCTGTTTGTTCAAGTTCTGGCGTCTAGGACATTGCCTTCAACCGTGTAGGATGTGCACTGTGAGCAGTAGGCACCAGAGTAAAGTAGTAAAGTAGCAGGATTCAATGTCGCTTTTGCTTGGCTTAAGTTTCGGCTTTAGAGGCCAACGTGCGGGAATAGCAATGCAGGCCTCGGGTGCCGGGGGATTAGGGGTTAGAGTTAGTTTTGAATCTTGGCTTCATGTATCTCAGGGCCTGAGGATTCACGAGTCGTGCGGGGTTGAAGGGCCATGGCTTTAGAGCTTGTTGGCTGCAGGCTTGCATCCTGGGTTCACGATTGTTTCTTTTCGTCGCTGGGTAGTTAGATATAGCCCACAGTTGATCCACCCTGAACTGCGCTTTCGCGGTTCGAGGTTTGGGGTCATCAGAATTGTCTGCGAACGCTCAGCCTTGAAGAGCTGGGCTTTGGGGGGTCTGTTGAACTCATCCTAATGCCCAGCGTGATGATCCTAGACCTCGTCAAGGCCTCATAGTAACCTTCATAGTCACAGTTACCGATACAGGAGCCCTCTAAGGAACCTGTAACGTTGAAGCTACTCGGCCAAGGCAGGTGGCATCGTTGCGGAAACTGCGACTAAACAATAACTATATCGGCCCGGAAGGTTGTCTGTCCGGGACTCAGATATGGTGTGGGATCCGGGGTTGGTGGCGTCTTGAACTGTTCAGGAACTGCACTGAAGTTAGCATAGCTCGAGGCATCGACTATACATTAAATACTGATCTGCATTCTATTGCGGGTTTTGCTTAGCTACCCTCTCATGGCACAATTACTACTTGGTGTCTCAGGGAACGTAGCACGCATGCTTAAGAAGTTTAGGATTGGTAGCTCCAGTTAGGTCAGTTACAACACTAAATGTGCCCTACGAAACCAAGCCTCCTAATCCTTCAAGTAGGTGGCACGGCCCTACAATGTCCTACAAAAAACAACTTTGCATGGGTCTGGGATTTGAAGTTTTGAGGCATGTAGGGTAGAGGGTTAATTTTTTCGGTAGTGATGACACCCGAAAGCTGAATTTGCTGAGAAGGCCTGAGCAACACGAAAGAAGTATGGAGAGCCATGTAACTATGCTGCCAGCAACAACATTCGCGATAAATCTGTAGGTAGCAGTTTCAACTCGGAATGGAATCCTAAACCCTAAACCCTATAGAAATGCGGACCTGGTCCTAGGTAGGAGGGAGGCATCAAAAAACCCTATAGAAACCCAAATCCGAAACCCAACCCGCGCCCTTTACCGACCTCGGCCCTGCTCGGTGAGAGGCAAATCGACCGAAGCCCCGAACCCCAAGTCCAAAACCAAAGCCCAGCCCTAGATTCAAGGTTTAGGTTTCAGAGTTTGGGGTTTAGGGTTTAATATGAGGGGCCAGCTGAATTTTAGAGTTTGGGTTTAGGGTTTAGGGGCTACGAGGGCCGGCTGATTGGCAGAGTCTGGGGTTCAAAAACAGGTTTTAATAGGGGGGCCCTATACATCCTACGAATATACTCATCCCATGCAAAAGTGCCAGATGCCGCCAGGGCCTTAGCCGCCTTCCTGCGGAAGACCAGCTCGCCCCTGGAAGAGATCGGGCTGGTACTCTGGGCTTGAAAGCGGTCGAGGTTTGGGAAGGTTGGGGTCTTACGAAAGTTCGGAGGCAATCAAAACAGGAGCTACAATGGGTCGTATGGTTGAGCACTAGCTAATCGCTGAATCCGAACAGGCTTCGTATTGCTAATGTTGTCATTGGCGTGTTGTCCTGCTCATCATGGTCTACAGGATTAGGGTTTAGATTGCAGTTGGGCTTTCAGGGTTTATTTCAGTGCTTGGCCTGGCATGGGCTTGGGTCTTGTGTTTAGGGTTTACGCCGAGTCGTGGTCATTCCACTTGCTATTTCTGCTGCCATGTCGCAACGCCCTCTGTCGTAGATTCTGCAGTAACATGCATAGCCTTGGCTGAAGCACCCTGGACTGGCCAAGCTCCAACCCTTAAGCCTTACTCCCTTAAGCGCTACACCCAGAACCCGGCAACTGGCCCGAAGCTTTATAAGTCATCCCCAAATCCCTAAATCCGGCCCTGAACCCTACTTAAAACCCCAAACCCCAAAGCCTTAAACCCTTGCTCCCGATTCTTTTCCAGTTGCAACCATAGCCTACTGTCCCCTCCAGCAGAGCGAAGGCCATCAGCCCACAGAGCCCAATACATACCCATCATCAAGAACGTTTTCCTTATAAGTGATATAGAGCTTTCATGGGCATGGAGCTTTTACTTTGGAAATTTAGGATAGTTAACTACGACTGAAGAGTGATCTTTTGCACCCCAGTGCACTTTTCGAGATACATAAAGCACACTCCTATAGTCTGCATTAAGGTCTTATGGTTGGCCGTAGACTTTCCGGTACAGCTCGAAATTCAAGACAGCATCGAAACCCCACTGCTTACTTGCCACGACCCGGAAACCCCAAATATCAATCTCCGAAACCTTACTGGCATCTTAGCCGATGAGCCCGAAATCCTGAACCTTACCAAGGTGCACAACATTCTGTGCCAAGGGGCAGCCAAGGAGAATATGCCGCCGCCCTCACGTCGGACATTGGGACTTATATGGGACCTGCTTTCGCAGTTTAGGAAACCTGATTGGTTCATGCAAGCGGGCTTTGCAAGGCCTTGCTTGGAGTCTGTTGCTTTATGGTTTGGGTTTTGACACTGGATTTAGGGATTTCAGGTGCCCTTCTGCACAGCATGCAAGCTCCTCAAGCTTGCGGAGGGTTCAGGTCCTACCTATGTATAGTCTGCATTCTAGTCCCTTTATGGCGTTACCTTATCCTAATAGGATCCTTACTATAAGCTTAAGCCAAAAAAAGCAACTACAGCGGAGACTATAGGTAGGGTATGGTCTGTCACCATGGGCTGCCAGATTGCTCAGGGCTTGGATTTGAGGGCTTTTGTTATTGAGGGCTGGTTCGTCCGGTGTTTAGAGTTTAGGTGTGAGCTGTCCATGCAATTTAGGGCAGTGTGAAACATCGTTTGTGGGTTGTTGTGAGACAACGTAGTCGTTTGAGTGCCGGCTAATATGTGAGACAGCTCAGTCTTAAATTGTTTCTTCGGCAAGTCATGGTTCTGATACTACCTCCAACTTGTCGCCATGTTGCCAAAACAGTCCATGCA